GTGAAAACGGCCAACGACTCGATTCCTCACCACCTTCTCCGCAATTTTGCATAGAATACACGTTAGTGAAATCTGACGATAGTTCTCTCTAAGATTCCTATTCCCCTTTTTGTACACCGGTGTAATATTGGCGTTTTTCCACATTGTTGGTAGCTGACCAAACGAAAAAGATGTATTCAAAAGTAACGCTAACGGAGATGATAACACCTGGCTACATTCTTTCAGAATCCGTGGCGATGTGCCGTCTGGCCCTGGGGATTTATAGATATTTAAATTTTTCAGCATTTTTTCGATCTCTTCAGGGGAACAATAAATGTTGTATAATTTCTGGTTAGTAACGTAATCGAAAACTGGAATGTTAGCTTGGTCCTCAGCAGTATATACAGACGAAAAATAATGGTTCATGCTGTTTGCAATACTAATATCGTCATATAGAAACTTATCGTTTACTTTCAAGGATACTAGATCGCTTGATCCTTTTCTCTTGGATTTTACGTAATTCCAAAAAGGCTTCGGGCTAGTGTTCGATTTTAGCTCCTGAGTCAAATTGTTTATATACTGCCATCGCGCAGAGGTACATTTCTTTTTTAGCTGATTATTAAACTTACGATAATTGACCCAGTCAGACTCCTTAGACGATTTTTTAGCCCTCTTGTAGAGTATTTTCTTTTTTCGACAAAGTTTGATAAGGTTGTTGCCAATCCATGGCGCATTTGTGGATCTTATAACTTGATGTTTTGGAATACATTCGTCAACAGCCGATAGCAGTAGATCCGACCATGCAGACCAAACAAGGTCGATAGATCCGACCATGCAGACCAAACAAGGTCGATGTTGTCTTCAAGAAAAGCACAGTGCCAAGGGATGTAATTCAGGAGATTCCGAAGATGTTCCAAATCTGCCTTTCTGTTCCCAATCTGCCTTTTTATTCGTTACGGTGGCCAATTTACAACTTCAACTTAGTTGATATAACCAAATTACCTTGTTACCCCCACCGACGCAGCACCACAGTTTCTTTAGAAACTTTTAGCCTTTATGAATTATCTGTGGTAGTAGGTAGTGGAATGATGGTCTATTGTGGTGTTTGGTGGTAATTAGCTATTCTTCAAGTGGTATTTGTTCTCGTGGCGGCATTTGGAGATGAGTTCCGATTATTTGTTGAGTAGGCTGTCGCTGTTCGATTTAATTATCATTAATAGCCTGAAGAGCGGTTCTCTTTGCGTATTCTCTTGGTAGAAACAATTTCTTGAGCGAAACAAATAGTAATTCGTTAACACAATGTCCAGAAATAATCCAGGCCAAATGTCACTGCAAACTTCCATGATCAACGGCATATTTAAGGCTGACTCCGAAAGTCGTTCTTTGAACAGTGCATATTTTGAAATTTAAAGGTCCATAAACTGCATTGATTAGATAAGCCGGAGAATACACATCGCTTTCAACGGACGGTTTCCGTTCTGTCTACACGCTTTATTCTTATCATGACCTTTTAAATGCGACGATTTTGGAACGGCAGTACCAGTATATTTGCCAGAACATAATCTTGCATTTCGTAAAAAATTACATCATTCTATGGATTTGGGCTCACAAACCAGGCGGTAAAGCGTCCAGGAAACAGGCAGAAAAATATGCAAAGCGAGAAATATTTCATACGTTACATAGCTATTTTGAATTGGAGCTATGTCACGGATAAATATGTTTAGGTTACGCAGAGCGTAACATTCAGGTTACGACTATTTTTCTTCTACATTGATAAGCTGTACCTCAACCAATTCATGATCCCAAATCAATGCACCATGCCGTTTGACTATTTTTCCGTCTACTGTGGAAGGAAAAGTAACTCACCGGTGTACACTACCCAAGAGGGTATAGAAATAATGAAAAGTAACCCTCAGGTATACACTACCCAAGAGGGTATACAAAAGTTTAAAAGTAACCCTCGGGTACACACTACCCAAGAGGGTATAGATTACAAGGTAACCCTCAGGTATACACTACCCAAGAGGGTGTAGAATAGATTAAAAGTAACTCTCAGGTATACACTACCCAAGAGGGTGTAGAAAAGATTGAAAGTAACGCTCAGGTATACACTACCCAAGAGGGTGTAGAAAAGTTTGAAATTAACGCTCAGGTATACACTACCCAAGAGGTTATAGAAAAGATTAAAAGTAACCCTCAGGTATACACTACCCAAGAGGGTATAGGTTAAAAATTAACCCTCAGGTATACACTACCCAAGAGGGTGTAGAAAAGTTTAAAAGTAACCCTCGGGTACACACTACCCAAGAGGGTATAGGTTAAAAAGTAACCCTCAGGTATACACTACCCAAGAGGGTGTAGAAAAGATTTAAATTAACTCTCAGGTATACACTACCCAAGAGGGTGTAGAAAAGATTAAAAGTAACTCTCAGGTATACATTACCCAAGAGGGTGTTGAAAAGATTAAAAGTAACTGTCAGGTATACACTACCCAAGAGGGTCTCGAAAAGATTAAAAGTAACTCTCAGGTATACACTACCCAAGAAGGTGTAGAAAAGATTAAAAGTAACTCTCAGGTATACACTGCCCAAGAGGTTATAGAAAAGATTAAAAGTAACCTTCAGGTATACACTACCCAAGAGGGTATGGATAAAATTAAAAATACATCAGGTACATGTATACAATACCCAAACCTGGAGGACCACTCAATACTTTTTCAATAATAGTGCTGTTGATGCAATACTCATTTAGAGAAGAAGGCGGAGACAAAGCTGCTAAAGGAGGGTAGCAACACAAAAATTAACTTATATAACCATTATTCTTTCCAAATTCCCAAATCTTGGTATCAAGTTCGGCTATACTTCAAAGAATTTTTGCAATTTCCCGTGGTCATTCGACTGTAGGCATTTCCCGCCAAATCTGTCTGGTATTTAAACAGTCAAAAACGATTTGAATTACCGTATCAACAACAAGAATAACTATTCAGTTGAGAACTCACAAATACATCTGCAGGAAATTCTCGCTGTTAAGTAGTGCGGCACAGAGACCAAATGAAGATACAACATACAAGTTGTTTAGTTGCCTGGCTGGCGTTGAACGAACAGCCTTGTTGGCGTGCTTGAGACCGCTGGCGTGACACTACGTATTTCATCGGAGAATCGACGAAACGTTTCGTTCTTTGAAGAAGCATTCGGCCCGACTCCACATTAATTTTTCGTTAGCACACACTAGAGTTTTTATGGGTCGAGATTGGATCCTGTAACTCTTGAAAGTTCAACCGATCGATCGAAGACTTCGGCCTCCATGATGAGATCGCACTAAGTAATTCCGATCCATGATTCATTGTGAATTGTTAATTATAGGTGAACCATAACATAACAATCACAATCGACGAAAGGTTCCTTGCCGAGCTGTCCGTAACGCACAAATACAATACCTGACGTCATACATTATACATGCGAACGAAACAAGTGATCTGGATTCTAAACGCTAAAGCGCGCGTTATTGTTCACAAATACTGACAACAGACATTGATAACTGAAACTTTATATTTTCAGTAAATCCTCATTTATTATGAGGCAAGGTTACAAGATACCAAGGAATGCAAGAGTATTTTTGAAAATGCAGCAATGTTTTGCCACGAATTTTAAATTACAGCTGAGGAGGCTACAGGCATTTCTATCTTTTTTTTTTTCGACATTCTTAATCGCCTCAAATATTTTTCTCCAATTTTTTGTTTAAATTTGCTACTCATATAATTCAACGGCTCGTTTAAATCTTCGTGAGCAGTTGATTTATCTTCATGGCATACCCAGTCTTGATTAACACACTAGAGACAACTACTGACCGCAAGTGTAAATTGGTTCTCTGCGTTGATGACAGAAATGATGGCGCCTCTTTAGAATACATGCTGCGAATTTTTCCAGGGCCAAAGCTCCTCATGCTTTAGGGTGGGGGGGGGAAGGTGTTCGGTGATGTGGGCGTTCTCTGAAACGGCGGACAGGGGGGTCTGCGTGCCGGATATCCTATCATTCTCCTGGATCTTCTCCTGGATAGGTCTAACAATTTCACTGTGGATGTGGACTTTGATGCACATCTTATGTATAATGGTAGCGTTTCTAAGACTTAAAAACAGCGCGTATGCCTGCAGTAAAATAGTTCGGTGATGAGATGCGTGCGAACTGCAAGTAACCAATAACAATTGAACTAGCAAAGCAGCCAACAGCTTTACAAGCTCTCAAATGCCTTCATCTAATTTTTAGATACTTCATGTCCTACTTTTTACAGGTTATTGACGATGAATCTGTCGTTTTCAATAAACTTGCAGGTTGCTACACTTACCGTGTAATCGCGCTTTATAAAGAGAAATGTAGATGATTAAAAGTACCGGAAAGTGAGATAACTGAAATTAAAACATATACACCTATCTCTTCTCCGTTAGACGTCCGATGTGTTTTGTTGTGTCGTTAAACGTGAACTATTCAGTTCTACGTTGTGGTACTAAGGCAAAGAGGAAAGGTTTTAGAGATGCAGGTTCTAGCTTTAACTTAAAGTAGAACTGAAACGATGGTGGGAATTCTTTAATAATCAGTATTTAGTACTCGTAGCAATTTTTAAGAAATTCAGGTGTGACTGATATTTTTACGAGGTAATAAAAGGTATCTTGTGTCCTTGCTTCGTTTGCAGCTGCTTGATACTGAACTAAATTATGGCTGTAATTTGGGAACTATCAAAGATTCTTGCAGTGGTATTTTCATTATCTTAAGGAAGCCAAAGTTTAAAACATAGATTCCAAGTTGCCGTGCTTCTGTTCGTCAAAAGATTACTGATGATCCCCAAAAGGGTGGTGAGAACAAGAGATGGAACACGGAGCGCAGTCGAGTGACGTCACCATGGATTAGACATCATCTGTGCGTGTGTGAATATTTCAGCTTATTGAAAATTATTAGAAAGATCAAAGGTTAAAAATGTTATCTCTGATTACTACGCAGCTTTTCATTTGTCTGATTATGATTTTTCAGATATACTGAATGATGATTTAAGAGCCTTGACGCAGGAATTTGAAGAACGTGGACCCCCTGAAGGTAAAAGTCGAAAAATTATTAAAATAATGACATAAATATATTTACATGTGACATCATCAAATAAATTGCTCCTACGGATGAATCGCGAACATTGATTAAAAAGATCAAAGGTTGAAATTGTTATTTCTGATTACTACGTGGCTTTTCATTTGTCTGATTATGTTTTTGCAGATATACTGAACCATGATTTGGGAAGAGCCTTGGCGCAGGAGTTTGAAGAACGTGGACCCCCTGAAGGTAAAAGTCGAAAAATTATTAAAATAATAACATAAATATATTTACATGTGACATCATTAAATAAATTGCTCCTACGGATGAATCGCGAACATTGATGAGACGCCGTCATTTTAAACCTTGCCTAGCAGCCTGGCCGCTCTGTGACGCGACAAACTCTCGAACCTCTATTTTCCGCACTCTAGTGATCTTTTCGAACAATTGAAAGTTACATACTTTAGAGAGGTATTCTTGATTTCTTTTGGCAATAATCAGAGCACGTACTACTACTAACCAGACACTAACTGATCACTTCCGAACTAGCACTTTTCACCTGTACGGTATGTACTAATTAACAAATAGATTCCATGTTGCCTCGGTTTCGTTCATTAATAGATTACGGATGACGTCAAAATGTGGTAAGAACAATAAAAGGGGCACACGAGGCACAGCCAAGCGTGGCACCGATATTCTTACCACATTTGGACGTCTTCTGTCATCTATAATTATACAGACTCACGGTGACATGGAATCTATTTCTTTTACATTATAAAGAAAAAGTAAATGTTGTTAATAGTGACATCATCTTTACGTCTGTCCCGCAATAGATCATAAGTGAGAAACAGTCAAAAGGCGAGTAGGATTCAGCTTGTCGTATGAATACATTTAAATCTTTGAGGCTAAATATTTCGCACTACTATGTAGGATGGTCCGCTTGAAGCAGCGGCAAATGTGCAAGGAAGGAGGCAAACGTTGTCATTCGAGACATTTATGCAAAATGCGCCATAACTGCGGTTTCCCAAACGTTTAAGTCCTCTCTCTAGACACAGAGTTTCCTGCCGGGGAATCAAGTGAAAGTGGAGAGTTTTCAGGAATACAGGACCTAGCGTCAGATGAAGGTGAAAGGACGTTGGAAATTATTTAATGATCCGTAGTTAGAGCCCACAACACTGAATTTTTTAAGCATTCTAAGATTCGCAGATATCTTTTATCAGCCAGAGCATTTCGTAACTGGTTAAAGACATAGTGTGTCATTATCTTCTGGAAGCAACTGACTGATACCGAACTGTATCATGGCTCATTATGAAAGCGTGACAGACCCTTGGAGCAGTGTTTCACTTCAGGATCATAAAAGGGTTTCGTTTATTAACCAGATCAGAGGTTGAAAATGTCATTTCATTTCAAACTATTACGTACCTTCTCATTTATTCGAGTAAATTTTAAAGGTACATGGGAAGATGATTCAGAGCTCCACGCCAGTCAGCTCGAGAATGAAGAACGCCAACCTCCTGAAGGTAACAAACGAAAATAATCTACACAACAAAACTTCTCAAAAGATTTATTTATTGGTCGAGAGCATACGGTCAATATAAAATAGAAAAAATAGCAAAATAACTGTGTAATTGTGTTTGGTGATTAGTGCAGGGCCACGTCTAATCTATTTGTTTTATATAGTAAAAAATGAAAAATGTTGTCTGAGCGACGTCATCTATGCGCCTGTCCTCGGTCCCATAGATCATAAGTAAGAACTATTAAAAATGCATGCATAATTCAGCTTATCATTTAGGGATTATGACGGCCAAAAACACACGCACATGACCAACTGATACGCGCCCTTTAACATAAGAAATACAGTAAAACGAAGCGAAGCGAAGTTGAGCGGTTGCTGAAATAAAGTTACAAACAAGAACGTACTACAATTGTACGTAAGGTAATTGACAAACTAGAAAACAAAACAATGCGCAATAAAGACACCCAAGAGCGTTGTACGAGATTGCCGCAAAATGCTAACTTAAGACGATACAAACGAGTTGAGTACGGTTTAACCATAGACCCTGAATGGCTAAAATTTACACCAAAAAAACTTACGCAGATATAAATGAATAAAGGCTGATAGTTTCGAAAGAAACTGTTTGGGGCTGCGTCTGTGGGAGTAACGAAATAATTTGGATATATCAACAAAGTTGAAATGGTAAATTGGCCACCGTAATGATTACAAAAGCTGACGTTTCGAGCGTTAGCCCTTCGTCGGAGCGAATAGAGGAATTGTGGGTTGTGTGTGCTTTTAAAGGCAGAAAATGGAGCTACGTTATTGGTGGGTGCATGGCAACGAGAAAAACATGAATAAATTAGTGGAATGAAAAGCGTTCATTGATCCCTGTGGGATTTAGACTGCCGGTTTGAAAGATGAGCTTTTGTTCAAGATTTTTACGGCTTTCCGTGCCACCTAAGTGCAAGGAAAGACCGCAGATTGCCATATGTTGCTTAGAATGATTAGGTAAATTAAAATGTCTAGCGACTGGTTTCGATGTGTCCTTGTCATTCCTTTCCACGTCTCGAAGGTGTTCTCGGAATCGGTCACCTAGTCTTCTGCC